TTGATACCTTTGACAACCATTTCCAAATATGGCTAACGCAAGAGTCGACGAAAAGACATTTCCCAGAAAAACGAAATCATAAAATTACGTCACTTCACCTAAGCTTGTAAAATTACTTAGCTCGTCACACACCACCATTCACTACTCGCCACTGAATGTTATCTCGCAACACTCCATACACCGTCGCATCCAATTTAGCAAAAATTAGTGATGCCAATGCAAAAGAATCGTTTGATACACCAAGAATTGTGAAAGAAAACGTCATTATTCGTGGCCATATGGCATTGATTCCTTCTAAATTTGAATCTCATTATTGAGAAATTTTCCTGGAATCCTCGCGTCATGGGAACCGTTGGTCTAAAATAAGAAAGGCCTTTGATCAGCCTATTAAGCATCAATGACCAATGATATTGCTAGTTGCAGTGTATCACAGGAGGAAAGGCTACTAAGCTACCAAGCTTACATGAGTCGCACCTTTTCACTAAACTCACACGAGTTGCACCTTTTCACTTGACGAGCGGTGAGCACTTTTATCCTTCTCCAAAAAGATTCGAAATGAGCGACGAAAATAACGATACTTTCCTCTTTACTTCCGAGTCCGTTGGTGAAGGACATCCTGGTAAGTTGCAATTGCAAGATTTTACTGAAACATTCATCGCAACCCCCATTAAATTTTTCAAATCGTCTCGCGCATTTGACGTGGCCGATCCTCTGAAGCGGAAGTTCATCTCGTCAACCTAGAACGAAAGTATGCTTTGCCTCCGTAGATAAGATTTGCGACCAGGTCTCTGACGCTATTTTAGATGCTCATCTTCGACAGGATCCTGATGCTAAAGTAGCGTGCGGTAAGTTAAAGGAACAGGGTTGCCCAAGGAAAGGCGTCAATTGTTTTCATAAATAAACTTGCCCAGAACTCTTTGTGCTTAACTTCGGAAAAGATGCAACACCTTTAATAACCAATCTTTGAAAATGTGCCAGTTTAAATGAGTCAAGTTACAGTGGTAAATGAGTCAAGTTACAGTGGAGACAATTCATTATCGCAAACCATTTTAACCTTTGAGTGCTACCGAAGCATTATATATTTTCCGAGAATCGAAAAGCGTCGCCTCACGTTTGAAAAACAATTCTGGGAATCTGGTGGTATTGGGCAATCCGGCATTCTATTATTTATTCAACAATTCACATGACTCTTCCTTGGAACTAATCCAACGTTCTTAAAGTTTTTCCTTTCTCAAATTTCGTCTTCGGTGCAAGACTCCTTAAAAACCAGTTAGACATATGTATAAGCTACGTTGTCGCGCCTAATGCGTAAAGATAAGAATGCCATATTCACCAATGCATGTGTAAGTGCGACAGAATTTAAAAGATTAAGATGACGAATAAGTTCAAAGTTGGAGAAAAAGGCTCCTCACATCTTATTTGCCGCCCGAGTGTACCCCTCTTATTTATTAATTAGCTTCAAACGCGTCGTCTTAAAAACCTGCTTTACCAAATGATGGCAGGATTATTTCCGGTCAAACCAGTATAACGGGCTTCAGTTTTCTTTGATCAGTTACGCCCTTGAAGCTACGATAGAAACTGAGATTCTTTGTGCATCGCAAAGATGCCTTCATAACACATCATACCAGGGATTTGTTGTTTACGCGTCTGTGCTCGAATTTAGACAGATGTTTCATTTAAAGTATTAGTTTTAAAACCTTTAATTTCAGTTTACGTCTGATTTACTGATCTTAGCCTAATTTCCTTTGCACAGAAACAGTGACCAAGACGGGCATGATTCTTGCTTGTGGCGAAATCACATCAAAGGCCGTTGTGGACTATCAAATTGTGATCCGTGACACAGTCAAGAAGATTGGCTATGATCACTCTGACAAAGGCGAGAGTATATTTTAACAACTGAATTTACCTCTAAACAAAGTTAATCATTAGAACTCTCGTCAGTGTTGATGACACAATCTATAGCGGCGAACTCCTGTAGAAGTCATTATTATTAACACTTTTAGCCATCAGCATTCAAATCAACGCAAAGAAAGGGCCGGTGGATACTGCAATAAAACGCAATATGTTCAAAAACTGAAAAAGCTGGCTGAACTTGGCAATGTACGTATTTCTAAATATCAGGCATAAAACAAACTATGACGAAGCAGAGTTGCTGGCTGCAAAAGCACTGAAAAAAGCACCGATGAACCACAAATTCTTTCTAAATAGAATTCATAAGATTTCAACGATAGCTAACTACTCTAGGCTCTTCAATAATTTTAAAGTCATATGTTTCGTTTGATTAGCAAATGATGAGCTTACACAATTGAGGCTTGAACTGTAGAACAAAGATTTATCTATGGCCAGTAATTGATTTTAATCTAAAATTTCTTTCGTTCTCTTGTTAAAGGGATTCTCTTCTTTAAATGGCTAACAATCACTGCCTTTCTTTTAGGGTTCGACTACAAAACCTGCAATGTCTTGGTTGCCCTCCAACAGCAAAGCCCTGACATTGCCTCGGGGGTCCATTCAGGGAGAAAGGAGGAGGATATTGGTGCTGGTGATCAGGGTCTTATGTTTGGCTATGCCACTGATGAAACTGAGGAACTCATGCCTCTGACAGCGGTCTTGGCCCACAAACTAAACAAGAAACTTGCTGATAAGAGGCGAGATGGATCTATGCCCTGGTTGCGACCTGACTCCAAAACACAAGTTACCGTCGAGTACCGTGGCAAATTGGGTTACGGTACCATCGTCCCCCTTAGAGTTAATACCATCGTTATCTCTGTTCAGCATGCTCCTGGCATCAAACTGGACGAAATGCAGAAGCAACTTAAAGAGAAAATCATCAAGGTACCTCCCTGCTGCTATATCTCTGTTACTGTACTCTACAAAAAAGTGTACTATAGAAGCTCTTTTGAACAAAATTTTCTTGTGTGTGTACTTCTTTAATAACAATCAAGGTATATTCAAAACGAACTAAACTGAGGTCGGCAGCAATCGGATCAACTGAGTTGACTTAAAATGTGTAGCAAATGAAAGGCAAAGTTAACGCAATGACTAAAAATGTTCACATATTGTTTTTTATTGTCACCAAATAAACTTAACCTGACGAGATAGAGGCAGTTTAGCAAATAAATCAAATCAACCAGTAACAAAGTTACCTTACCATTCTCAGAGCAAATTTTGCGTTTTTTACTCACTTCATTCTTGCAGGAAGTTGTCCCTGCTAAATATCTTGACGATAAAACAATCTACCATCTTCAACCTTCTGGTACATTTGAGATTGGAGGCCCTCAGGGCGACGCGGGTGTTACAGGAAGGAAGATCATTGTAGACACATACGGCGGGTGGGGTGCACATGGAGGAGGTGCCTTCTCTGGAAAGGACTTCTCTAAGGTCTGTTTTCTTGTAATTATATACCTTGAAATTGCTCTGTCTCTCACTTCAAGATGAAATCTGTACTTTGAAAATGTTTAAGCTTACAACAATGTGAAGCCACATGTTCTTAGTAGATCAATGCAGCGCTAATACATGTAAGACTCACAATGAGAATCTTAAACCACATGCCTCATCGAGTTCGTTCTCTTACCTATATTTACACTATTTCTTTAGGTGGACCGATCTGGTGCTTACGCAGCAAGGTGGATTGCCAAGTCTCT